GGCCGGGTCGCAAGCCAGGACGCAAACCGGTTCCCCGGCCGGGTCGCAAGCCAGGAAGCGGGCCGGGTCGCAAGCCAGGACACAAACCAGTTCCCCGGCCGGGTCGCAAGCCAGGACGCAAACCAGTTCCCCGGCCGGGTCGCAAGCCAGGACGCGGGCCGGGTCGCAAGCCAGGACGCGGGCCGGGTCGCAAGCCAGGACGCAAACCAGTTCCCCGACCGGGTCGCAAACCAGTTCCCCGACCGGGTCGCAAGCCAGGACACAAACCAGTTCCCCGACCGGGTCGCAGGCCAGGACGCAGGCCAGGACGCAGGCCAGGACGCAGGCCGGGTCGCAGGCCGGGTCGCAGGCCGGGTCGCAGGCCGGGTCGCAGGCCGGGTCGCAGGCCGGGTCGCAAGCCAGGACACAAACCAGGACACAAACCAGTTCCCCGGCCGGGTCGCAAGCCAGGACGCAGACCGGTTCCCCGGCCTGGTCGCAAGCCAGGACGCAAACCGGGTCGCAGGCCGGGTCGCAGGCCGGGTCGCAGGCCGGGTCGCAAACCTGTTCCCCGACCGGGTCGCAAACCTGTTCCCCGACCGGGTCGCAAGCCAGGACGCAGACCGGTTCCCCGACCGGGTCGCAAGCCTGGAAGCAGGCCGGGACGCAGACCTGTTCCCCGGCCGGGTGGTCCCCCATTTGAGCCAGTTGTTGTGTTCCATCAAGAACCAGGCCCGCAGGCCCTCGTCCCCAGCAGTCCCTCAGGTACCGGGTCCGCTTGGTGCCGGTCCTGCTGGGGGTTCGAGTCCCTCCTGGATCAGAGGAGCTGATGGCCACCTGTACTCTGCTCTTCCCGCAGGCTGCAGTATCCCGGCTGACCAGCAGGTGGCGTGTGGCGCTCCCTCCATCGGCGCTGCAGCCTGTGTGTCCAGAGGCTGTTGTGTGGGGGCAGGAGAGGCCGGTGGCTGCTACTACCCCATGAACGGTAGGGGGGGACCCCGAGTACTGATCTGTATGAGTGTATTAAATTTTCTGTGTGTG